TTGAGTGGTGAATAAGTAATATTTGTGGGTTTCATGAAATTTGTAAATATTATTTGACTTTTAGCATGTTTCTAAATACTTACCATATATCGTTTAATATACAACTTTGTGTTTTTACTCGATATCACGTAAATTTCTTTTACGTCAACAAAAGAAATCAATCTTTGTCAAATTTCGGTGCCTCTTTCTTGGTGCAGCATAAGATTCCTTAGAAATTTGGCTCCCACAGTTCCTCCCAAATTACTTTTTATGTACTTTCCATATTCACTTTGACACTTTTTTCTGGCCTAACACATGCATAAATTATTTCTTTCTTTCTTTTTTTTTTTTTTCGCTTTTTCTTGATCTTTCCCATTTATCATTTCACTCAGAAAAATAGTCAGTACCAGCTGCGAATTGAGTATACACATGCATAGATTTTTACATTTTTTTTTTCGTTTTCTTGATCTTTCCCATTTACCATTTCACTCAGAAAAATACCAGTTACAAATTGAGTATACACGTGCATAAACTTTTACATTTTTTTTTTTATCTTTTTCTTGATCTTTGCTTGTGGCAAAAAATATTGATGTTTTTGCAATGTATAAATATAGAATTCAAAAAACTATAGAATTTTCCTTGTATTTTGGTACTTTTTTTCTTTTTTACTTATCAAGCCTGTTGTTACTCTTGTTTATCCTCTGTAAGTCACATCTCTAACTTATTTTCCCGAGATTATATTTTTAAAAGAGATCAAATCTTTGCTGCATTTGTCTTCAGTATGTCTAGCGTTGAATGGTAGGAAACACGGAAATGGATTTATATAGCTGACCCCAAATTTATTGAGAGCCAATCAAAATATAAACCTGAAAGATACATTTATTAGTTGGTCTATATTTGATTTACGAGTGTGGAAAAATAGATCGGATAATTTCTGTTTTTGGGTTATTTACAGATATTGTTCCGTCAAGGCTATAGAAACGCAATCTCGAGCTGATGATCAGCAGTGATTAACATATTGGGTTCTTTATTCATTGATCACCCTCTTCGAGCTTACATTTTCCAGAGTTCTTGAATTGTAAGCTCTTTTCATAGATCTAACAACGCAAGCCAAAAATAATAAATAAATAAATTTGCTTAGTCGGCATAACTTCTAGAACTTGTGTAATTGTTGAATCAGGTTTCCCATTTGGTCTTATGCTAAGCTTATTGGTGTGTGCTGGTTGGTGCTGCCATGTCTCAATGGAGCAGCATATGTTTATGAGCACTTGATAAGGCCTTTTTGCAGAAACCCGCAGGTTAAAATGTGGCACGTCCCTCCAAAAAAGGATGACAAGAGAATGGACCTGAGGCAATTGAAAGGCTTATAGCCAGGGTAATTGGGTAAGCCATAACCCTCTTACTTTATCCGAAGTTGGATCAACTGTGAAAAATGCGGGGAGTAACCCTCTAAATTTTTTGCATTCTGATAGAGAAGCATGAGCCAGGAGGGGTAAATATACAGTTTTTCAAGATGATAATGGATATTATCGATCTGCTGCTATTGATAAAAATATTGTAAATTTGCTGCAAGGTTGCATTTCTAAGAATTCTAGGAACCTTAACATGCTAGTATTGGTTATGTATCTTGTCTTCTAATGTTTGAACCTAAATTTACAACTTAGGTTTCCTATCTATGATTCTTGATGTGCTCATGAGCATTTGCTCATATTTGGCATAATTTATTTATGTTTTCATGAGTTACATATATGTTTAGTATGTTAAACACGAGATGATTAGATAAAATTAGAGAGACGCAGACATTTGACAAAGAACGTTAGCTGTGTTGTTTAGTTATAGTGAATTCTATATATCTTTAATGACATGTTTGGTACGTTAGATTGTTCACGAGAATAAAAAGAAAAGGTTAAAAAAATTGGATGTTAACTAGCTCAAATTAATAAGTTGCTACATCCATGAATATGGTTTCATCAATTACATTAATGAAAATTGCAATTAAATTGTTTTCAGTCAAACTAAAAATTCAACAAAACCTTGATAGAATGATAGTATTTTTCAGCCTTTAAATTTCGGGCTCAATAGCCCAGTAAATAAAGTTCAGCCCATCTTGATTGGGCCGAAGAGTAGCCATTGGATATCGTGGTTGAAGACTACAATGTGGGCTAGCCTTAAGCCTGAAGAAAATTGTGCCAAATACTTAAACCTTATTTAAACTTCCCTTTTAATTCTTTAATTTTTCCTTACATAAAAATTAACATTTTATAAAAGAAAACTGTTATTTCTCGTCACTGATAACCATCATCACTCTATGTGACAATACAATGACATAAAATGATAGATTCAATTACATTCTTGTTTGATTTGATTTTTTATAAAATCACTTTTTACCAATTACCAAACTCATTTTAGAACATACGATCTGTTAATAAAATAATTTTGCAACGTAAAATCTTAATTTTTTTCCTACTTTTTGACTATATACATTTCCAAATAAAATTAGTTCTTAAAAACTTAAAATCAAACAAGGGTTAAATACATAGGACCCATATTATTGAACATATCATTTGACGACATCTAAAGATGATGGCCATTGATGACGATAAATAACATTACTCTTTATAAAAATTGTTTACTTCTCAATCCTACACTCACCCTAAACTTAATTCTGAAATCCATACCCTAGCAACACACACCACCAAGTCCACTACCACTATCGATGACCAACCACCATTGGCCTCGGACAGATATTGCAACCAACCGCCACCATCACTACTACTGCACAAAATATTACTTGTTGAAAAAGGTCAAAAAAATTGAAGCATTTTTTTTTCTAGAATCAGTAACACATGTTACTTTACAACTAAAATAGTATAACACAATGTGTAAATAGGAATGACAAAAAAAGGTGTTAAACTCGATACGTGGAGATCTTGTCCCCAATGAGGCGGGGATTACCTATCTAATCGGGTAAACGAAATGATGGTGGAATGGGAATTGTTGCCCCCAAAGCGGGTATGGAAAACATCATCCCCATCTCGCTGCCCACTCCGTTTAAAATTTATTTCAAATTTAAGCTTTTCATACACAAAAAAGGAGTTATCATCATTTCTAAACAGACATGAGTTATTATTAACAAGTTGAACAAAAATGTAATAATTTTACTAATTAAAGACATAAAAATAATAATAAATGGGGAGTAAGAGAGGCAGAGGACATGCCCCAACCCATCCCACTTTAATCGGGTATGGGGATGGGGTAAGGTGATAAAAATACTCGATGGATGGGAGATGGGAGTGGCCGATTCGTTCCCGACCCGGCCCGTTGCCATTCCTATGTGTAAATTAAGATATCTTATGTAATATAGGCAAAATCAAAAGATTTGCTAGAATTTATTTTTTTTTTCTCATTTTTTATAGAGAACTAGAATTTTTTTTTTTTTCAAATTTAGAGCCTATTTGAGCCCCATTTTTATTCAAGAATGCTTTTTTGGAATATTAGATTGATGGAGTCTATATAGTTGAAAAGATGAGAGAAAATGTATTTTTGAAAATAATGAGATCAAACAAAGTCTAAAACAATTAATAATTATTTAGTTAACTACTTACAAATATATATTTTGTAATTGTAATGGGGGGTTAAACATATATATTTCAATGCAAATGCCTCCTGTGGAGTAATTTTTCGAACATGTGATGGGACTTCAAATTTAATCAACAATATTCAAATGACGTCACTCTACTATGTTGCTTGTGAAGGAGTACAAAAAAGGATCATGCTATACGAACATAGTCGTTGACATTTTAGATGACCGAACACACACACTTTGAAGGTCAAGCATTATTTAATTCATGCAGATCCATGCACTTTGTGCGGGTCCGTCAATCAAGTGGACAATTTTCTTCTAACAACATGCCTTTATTCTACCAAAAAAAGAGAACGAAAAAATCACATACAAAAATATCAAACATAAAGTAATCTAAAACATAAATCCAATTAATTTTAACAAAACTATCATATTAATAATAACGTATTTGAATTCTAAAGTTCTCACCCGAGTAATTAACTCAAAAAAGTCAACCTTAGAGAATTTTTATATAAGATAATATTGAACCTTTACCTTATTTCTATTATGAATAGTCATTTCCAATAAATAAAAAGTTATGAATAATTTTGAAATGAGATCTGTATTCGACTCATTTTATATGCAAAGCTATCTACCACCGATCCAACGTCTTGACCTTTCAATGCTATAATGAAAATTTCGTCGAAGCTTTGAGAAGATAAATGTTGACCAAGCCGACTTTCATCAAAAGACCTAATCGTGGACCTAATTCTCAAATTGGAAAATTGGTGAGATTTGAGGGAATGTGAAATTTCTTAACTTTAGGGGGCAAATGTCAATATCAAGTTACTTTTTGGCCTTACATGTTAATAAACAATTAGGGTGCGTTTGATTACAAGTAGGAAAATTACATGGAAAGAAAATGAATTCCAAGGAATTGAATTACCTAGAAATTGTTTTCATGGAAATTGTAAATTATTGTGTTTGATTGTATAAATTTTTCACGTGGAAAATGTTGAAGTAAAAGTATTTTTTGATGTTCGTTTGACTTTGTTTTATGTGGAAATTGTCAATTTCAGGGATATCCTCTTTTACAATTATTCCTAAAATTTGTTCCCATTGCCAACAATTAAAAAAAAATAAAAAAAGCCAAAAAAAAAAAAAAAGGTGGAAAACCAAAAACCACCTATCCCCTAGGAAAAAAAAAGGTGGAAAATCACGCTTTAAGGTGTTGTACCTAGAAATTCATGGAAAATCAATTCCCTGGAAAATTTTGTCAATCAAACAGGCCAAAAGTGGAAGTTGGAATTCGAATTCCATGTTCCATGGAAAATTTCGTGCAATCAAACGGGGCCTTAGATTCCAAAAGAAAATGACAAAAACATCCTAATCATGAAAATCCTAGATAAAACAAGGCAACTGACTTCCAGTTGCTGACATGGCATTTCCCGGAATAAAAAGGATGGATTCGAAACAGAAAAAGTAGAGAGAGAGAGAGAGAGCGAGAAAATCTGCATTGCACGTTTAAGGGGTCAAGAGCCTGAAGATTCAACACTTTCAATTCCAACAATTGCTTCATTTAAATTCCAAAAAGCCCTTTGAATTTCGAGAGCCAATTCTTTTTTTCTTTTTCCTTTTTTTGCCTGCTTGAAGAGGGCTTTTTCTATGCCTATTTGTGGCCAAAGATTTTACATTTGAGCTCAAAAGAAGACCGATACCCCCTTCTTAATTTTATCTCCTGCATAATTTCTTGAACTTCTGAAAAAATAGATATTTGCAATCAACTCTTGTTGTTATAACACCAATGTGGCATTTGGGTTCAACTATTTTGAATGCTTATGCATGCATGTGAAAGAAATTGACGAAAATATTTTCTTAGGGTTAAAAATTCTCTTTGAGAAGTGATTTCAGCTGTTTCAGTGATCAAAGATCATATCTTTGGGTCCAGTGTAATAGAATCTTGGATGAATTGAGTAAACATTTAGGTGAGCTGTAATTTTTTGTCCCCCAAGAAGTGAGAGATTTTCGTGGGTTCTGTGTTTTGTGGATTTTACGATGGGGTAGATGAAGAAATTGAAATTTGAATTTCGGAGTTTAAGGGTGGTGTTATATGGGGCAGAATAGGATAGAAAGGGCATCATTTTGTGATTATTCAAATGGGTTTTGGTTTAATTGATGATTTTTTGCTCCAAGTTATATCCCAAATTGAATGGCTGATTTGCAGAGACCTAGTCTTGTGGAAAGGGACATTGATCAGGTACTAAAGTTTCACTGTGTCTTTTAGTAGACATTGCAGTCATATGCTGCATCTGTACTTAGAAGTATTGTGTTCACATAAATTCTTTGTATTTCTTGAGGAAATAAGTACTGAAATTTTGGGATAGGCATTTTGGTAGGAATTTATATGCTTACGAAGTGTTTGTTTTTAGGCCATTACAGCTCTTAAGAAAGGATCCTACTTGCTGAAGTATGGACGGAGAGGGAAGCCGAAGTTTTGCCCATTTCGACTTTCCACTGTAAGTTGTAATGTCGACATGTCATCTGTGATTCTGGTCATCCCAAATTTTTGCTATAAGTAGTCTTGTGATAAGTATTTTTTGTTGCTGCAAGTGATGGTATGTTGATAATCTTATTAGCATATGATTGTGACCAAGTATTAACTTTTTGATTGAATTAGAACATATATTATCTTATACCTCTCATGTTTAACCACCAAATAGAAAATTTTTAGGATGTCGTCCTATGTCATTCGTTAGTAGCTTTGGAGAACTTATTCTTTCTTATTAAATGCAATTACATTTTTTTTAATTTTCTTCATTTTAGTTATTTAGTTTGATTGAAAAATTGTAGGATGACTCTACATTGATATGGTACTATGGCAAAGATGAGAAACAACTTGAGCTACGTCATGTTTCAAGGATAATTCCTGGACAGCGTACTGTAAGTATACTGAACTTTTTTCTAATTTTAAGAGATGTTTCATTTCCTCATGAGTTGGTGCATTGTAGAGGCATCGACGTAGAAAGATTTCTATGTTTACATAATTCACTGGATTTGTTTTCCTATAGGAGCTGGAAAGATAATCCACCTGGAACGTCATAGTTTTTCTACCTTATAATCTGCTTTCCCATTTGGACATCTTTGTCTCTTGAATTTATGCTTTTCAATGCCTTTAAATAAAATTTTCGAGATTTTCTGTTCTAAATTAGCGGCAAAAACAAAAGGAAAATCTGGAGAAGAAAATTTATGTGGAGACCTAGTATAGGAATCATGATATATTGATTAATAATGTGGTTTCATAGCATTTGACATTAAAGTAACGTAGATAATATAACAAGATGCACTTAGAGCAGTACATGGAAATTTCGGTGGTCAATACTTTGTAAAACAACCAGAGTTACATGTACCATAACAATGATATTAAAATTTGAAGCATTTGACTAACATCATAGCCATTTTCTTTTGTCAGGCAATATTTCAGCGGTATCCTCGACCTGAGAAGGAATACCAGTCATTTTCTCTCATCTATAGCGACAGATCCTTGGATTTGGTGAGTTTATTGACTAGTTCTTAAGTTCTTATTGAGATAAATGTGCACTATATCAACTGCAAAACATTTGGATGCACCCACCATATTGGCTTTCTCTCATAATCTGTCTATTTCCACTACAAAATATTGACAGATATGTAAAGATAAGGATGAAGCCGAGGTTTGGTTTGTTGGTTTAAAAGCTCTAATTGCGCGTGGTGGCTACAGGAAAATAAAAAAGGAGGCAAAAAGTGAAAGTATATCATCAGATAGTCCACGTGGTCGGAGGATCTCCCCATCAAGTTTTTCTTTTGTGAGTCATATTATCTTATTCTTCTCTTTATAAACAAAATCATCTTAGTGAATTTCTTCTTTCTTTATTTTAATTTCTTCTTTTTCTTCTGTCTAATTTAGTTACCTCAGGATCAAGGAGATACCCAACTATCTGAGAATCTTTCTCAGAGCGGATGGGGGAAAGCGTTTGCTGATATCATTACATACACTGCGATAGCTAAGAGCCCTACACGAGCAGAATCCATTACATATTCTATCAACTCACTGCAAGCTGGGGCTGTAGACAACCCAAATGGCCGAAGTTCTGGAGGTGATACATTTCGCGTGAGTCTATCCAGTGCTGTAAGTTCATCAAGTCAAGGTTCCTGTAATGAAGATTTTGATAGCTTGGGTGATGTTTTCATTTGGGGAGAAGGCACTGGTGATGGGGTGGTGGGAGGTGATGTGGTTAAAGTTCATGGATCATCTAACACCAAGGTTAATTCTCTCTTGCCCAAGGCATTAGAATCAACCATTGTACTTGATGTACATAGTATTTCTTGCGGTGATAGACATGCAGTTTTAGTCACTAAACATGGGGAGGTATTCACCTGGGGGGAAGAGATGGGGGGGAGGCTGGGGCATGGAGTTGAAGCTGATGTTTCCCACCCCAAGCTCATCGAAACGCTTTGTGGCATGAACGTTGAAAAGGTTGCATGCGGTGAATATCACACTTGTGCTGTTACACTTTCTGGTGATCTGTACACTTGGGGTGATGGTACTCATTACTGTGGCTTGCTTGGTCATGGAAGTGAAGCTAGTCACTGGATCCCCAAAAAGGTAGGTGGTCTCATTGAGGGGTTACATGTGTCATTTGTTTCATGTGGGCCTTGGCATACGGCTTTGATCACATCTGCATACCAATTGTTTACGTTTGGAGACGGAACTTTTGGTGCACTGGGGCATGGAAATTGTAGTGGCACCAGTATTCCACGAGAAGTGGAAACTTTAAAGGGATTGCGGACAGTGAAGGTAGGTTGTGGTGTATGGCACACTGCAGCAATTGTTGAAGTAACGAGTAAATCTTCTAACTCTGGAGAATCTGATGGTTCATTATCTGGAAAGCTGTTCACCTGGGGGAACGGGGATAAAGGCCGGCTTGGGCATGGTGATAATGAATCAAGACTAGTTCCTGCATGTATAGATTCATTGGTTGACATAAGCTTTTCTGAGGTAGCATGTGGGAACAACCTTACCGTTGCTCTGACAACATCAGGACGAGTATATACCATGGGCAGTAATGTTTATGGTCGGCTGCTGAATCATGTACCCAGTGGAAAGACTCCCACTTGTATAGAAGGTAAAATTGCTGACAGTATTGTGGAAGAGATTGCTTGTGGTTCACATCATGTTGCAGTTTTGACGTCAAAGGCAGAAGTTTATACCTGGGGAAAGGGTTCAGATGGGCAACTCGGGCATGGCAATAATGATGATCGGGATACCCCTACTCTTGTCGACTTTCTAAAAGATAAACGAGCAAAAAGTTTGGCCTGTGGTTCAAATTTTACTGCTGTCATATGCCGCCATAAATGGTTATCTAGTGCTGATAATTCCATATGCTCAGGTTGTCATAATCTTTTTAATTTCAGACGAATACGTCACAACTGTTACAATTGCGGACTCGTTTTCTGCAAAGCATGCAGCAGTAGGAAGACCCTTAAAGCATCCTTAGCCCCAAGTATGAATAAGCCATATCGTGTCTGTGATGACTGTTTCAACAAATTACAGAAGGCGATAGATCCAGGAGCTGTTCCTCGAATTCCTAATGTTAAAAGTGGAGGTACACTATATAAGCCCAGTGAAACAACAGAGAAGGAGACTGGGACTTCTCTTTTACCTGGAAATATTTCAAGACTCTCTTCCGTTGACTCATTTAAATCTGAAATGACTTCCACATATAACATGAGATCTGAATCAAATAACAGCCGAGTGTTTCCTCTTCAGAATGAAAATATTCAGAGGGCAAGCATTTCGTCAAAATCTACTGTTAGCCCATTTGGAAATTCTAAGAATTTGACTTCAGTTTCTGTTCCTAGTTCTAGAATGGTTTCTCGGTCACCATCTCCTATTCCAGGAAAGTCAAGCCCTCTGAGGTCTGCCACAGCGTTACCATATATATCAGTTTGCACATCAGAAGTAACTGCTGATGATATAAAGAGTGCTAATGATAGTCTAAGTCAGGAGGTTAAATATTTAAAGGCACAGGTAAGCCTGTTTGGAGATGCAGAAATTACTATGGACATGTTGGCATGCATTTTTCTCTAATCTGGACTCCATTAATCTTTCTTCTCATATTAAAGCATTGCAACATATTTAACTTGTGTTAAAATTCTGCATAGACTCATAAATACCTTGCACTTTCTTAATACGTTCAGAAGTGTAAAATTGCTGTGTGACTGCTGTTTTCTGGATTGATGGGGATGGCTCAGTTGTTGCATCCAAAAGTGTCCACTCCAACACCCCCCACCCCAGTTCAAACGCCCTAAATATCCTGCATACATCATTGGAAACAAATATTAATTGTTGCCTTCTGTTTATTTACCTTTTGCTTTTTAGAACCTGACTCTTAATGTCTTTTTTTAGGTAGAAGAACTTGCTAAAAAATCCCAACTTCTTGAAGCTGAACTGGGAAAAAAATCAAAGAAACTTAAAGAGGTGACTGCACATGCAGCTGATGAGGCGGAAAAAAGCAAAGCCGCAAAAGAAGTAATCAAGTCGCTGACAGCACAGGCAAGACGTTGTTCTATGTTCAAAATATCAGTATGTTTATCTTTTCAAATACTCTTAGAGGTACATTTTCGTAGAAATAGTTAGCCAAGTGGTTTCCCTAATGGGTTAGTTTCGAGGAAATTATTCTTGGACATCTAGTGATCTAGTCTGACTGTGGAACTTTCTTTATTGATGAACTTTGTGGATGATCCCCCAATTGAACAGTGATCCAAACTTTATGTATGTTTAATACTGGCAACATAGAAGGGTCGAATCCGATCCTCATAAAAAGCAAGACCTGCTATGGAGGGATGTAATTCATGTCACGTGTAGACATTGAGTGCCCTACGAACACAAGAATGAATGAATTATTAAGTCATTGCATCTACACAAAATTTTTGCCCTTTACCATACTTTCTTATGAGTTACATCAATCTTGTTTCCTATACGGTCTATGCTCTTGTCACATTTGTCTATTGATTGAAACGGAGAATATTACTTTGTATTTTGAGTGGAGATACAAAATAGAGGATCAAGCACCCTCAAATACAGTAATGAGACGGTCAGGATCTCAACCTTCAATTCATGGTTGCATAAGATTGCGTGAGATTACATATTATTTTCTTGTTTCTACTTTTTAATGATCATATGTTCTTCCTGTCATCTTGCTATTTTGGTTCACTTATAAGGAAACCTCTGATTCTTGTAATGGTTGAATAGAGTCTAACAGTGTCAATGGTCCAATTTGCCGGCAGTTAAAAGAGATGTCTGAGAGAGTGCCTAAAGAGCATATTGCATGCAGAAACATGGACTCTAAGGCTGAGCAAATGCTGAACAACACTGGTCGACTATCTAATGGAAGCGGTATTACAAGCACAACCTCTCCTAAAAGTGAGTCGAGTGACAACTCGACCCCTTCACCCCTATCTAATGGAACCAAAGTGCAGAAGTCAGAGCGGATAATACAATATGAAACGGGCGTGTACCTGACTCTTATCCCCTTACAAAATGGTGTCAACGAACTGATACGAGTTCGTTTCAGGTTATCTCTTTTAATAGCTCTTTGATTCTTTCCAAAATTCTTTCCATTCGTAAACAGACACAAATCTATGGACAGGTTTTTGTCAGATGTAAGATATTTTGCTTCAACGGAATTGTTTAGCGGTTACTTATTGGTTGATTTACATTGATCCGACGAGTGAACATTTTTTTGGTTTTCTACAGTCGTAAGCGTTTCACAGAAGACCAGGCAGAGAAGTGGTGGGCTGAAAACGGAACTAGAGTATGCGAGAAACACAACATTCAAACTGCGACGTAGTTTGAGGCAAGCAGTCATTACAGCAAACTTTTCAACATCAACTTTCTGCCGACTGGAAACTGTAAATTCTTTTCTTGGGGTTGTTTTTCTAGGTCGGTTGAACTTACGTCCTGGGTTGGAGTTTTAATGGTAGAACGATAAGCAAGAACGAAGAGTTCAGTGAATTATGAATGCTCATTTCAAAAAGCATGAATATTTGCACTGTTTATCATGTTTGTGCAGGTGTGTTTTTGTTTTTGTCTTTTTATTTTTTATTTCCATTTTTGTCTTTGAGAAAATTCAGCTAGAGAGCCCGTAACGATCCGGCAAAATTAAGATTTTCATTAAATTTTTTAGGTCATATTGCATGTTGATCAGATGCAAGTATTCAAAGAGGTCAAATATTTGATGATTCCATCATCCATAATTGAGTTGCAAAATCTTATATATGAACCGAATTCTTTCGTAGTAAAGAATTTCGTTCTAGTTGCTTTGAAATACAAGGTTCCGCTTCTAGCGCCAACATGCTTAATCCCACTCATGAGTTCTAATTAATACGTTCTAAGTAGAAATATTCTGAAACAAAGTTGTAAATTTACACCCGTGGCTTGTAATACACAATCATAGAGCCTATGAATAATGATATAAAGCGCTTATTCATTTTATCACCTTCCTTAACATGTATAATTCTTGTTTTTATGCATATCCATTCTTCCTTGCATTCTACATCATGGTTAGCAAATTATCCAGCAATTAACTGGCAGGCAATCAGACATAAAATTAAAAGAAAAAAAACAGAAAACATAATCCATAAACTTGAACAAGATTTAGTCCAACACCATTGTATTTTCAAATTCCCTGGATTTTTGATGGCTCAATCAAAAGAGTGGAGTGTACAGATGCAGTCCCAGAAAAATTTGACAAAATCTTGCTTATTGTATGTCCTAATGCATTTACCAAACATAGCGTTTTTCGTTGTGCATGTCAAAAACTCATAAGATAAGAACAAGGCCATGAATATAAAATCCGCCAAGGAAATAGCACCAAGAATAATTACTGAACTGCAATGTCTACATCCTCAAAATTTATGGTTCCGGCAAAAGGATGCGTTTTTGTATATCTGCAAAGGTTTTGACATCAACACCCCATAACCTGCATTTTCATATAGACCATAACAGTCAAACCACAAGCTAGTTTTTTATTTTCACATATTCTGAATTTCTGTATCGTTCAACTAGTTTGAAGATGAAAATAGAGCCTTGTAAAAACCCTCTTATATCCCGTAGGTACAAAATTGAGATGGAAATGTGATCGAATCCAAATGGTGATGTAACAACATTTGATCACATGCCACTCGTTGGCCATGAATGAAAATAACTAGCGCATATAGTGAGTACTATAACACTGTTAACCTACCAGCAATCAATCCCAACGGCATTAGCCCCTGCTTTGTCAGCCTTTGTATCGTCTCCAACATGAACTGCTTTGCTGGCATCTACAGAGATTTGATCTACACAATTGCCAATATTAAATTTCTAAGATAACTCAATTTCATCATATTGTTATATGAAGGGTATTAGTCAGTGGCAAGTACACCAAATAAACTCTACAAGTACGTAACTAAGTGGAAAAGTAAATGGAGCTAAGCTTAAAACGTTTACTTACAAGTTTACTTAGAAGTACATAAGCACGATTTAAAACAAGTATTTTTTTATGTATCAAACTTGAAAGTTTTAGTTATTAATTTTGATAGCAAGTAAAAGTATTTTCAAAATAAGTAAATTTTTATTTTTATTTTATTATTATTTTTTTTGAAAGCGAGAAAAAAGGCAAGTTAACATGTTTGGAAACTAAAAATATACTTTTCTAGGTAACGTGTGCTTATTTTTAAGCTTAGACTAGCATGCTGAAGCGAAGAACTGCGTGGTTGGTTGGCCATGCTATCTCAAAAACAAGTGGAAGAATATGGCGAATAATAGATAATCAACTGCATTGTTCATATAAAGGCTCTTGGTATTTTAACACATACCCAACGCAGCTCTAAATATGTTTTCGTCTGGTTTTTCATATCCAATCTCTGAGGATATGATGACAGCATCAAACCTAAACGAAAAGAAACAATAAAAGATCAATGAATGTCGTTTGTGGATTTACTTGGCTCTATTCTGCATCTGCATTAAATGAATGGATATTTTAGAGTACCACATTCCTCAAAAGAAAGATAAGAAAAAGAAAACAATTTCTGATGGATATACCATTTTCCAATATACATGTCAACGAATCGTCAAACACCAACAAATAAAAGTGAATTTGATGAATATTATCACAAAAATAAAAAAAATTCATGGTCTTTAAGAACAAAATGCACAAGAACTCAATTACTAATATTGGATTAAACAATCACTGAAAGTAACAGAAAGCATAAACAGAGAAAATCTTGATGCTCACAGATCTAACACATTCAGATCCTTAAGTAGCTTCCTCAAGCGGGTGTCAAAATTGGAAACAACAGCCAGTTTAACTGCACATTTATCAGTACTTTATAAGTAAAAACAAGGGAAATTAAGACATCAATATTTAATTTAAATATTACACATGTAACAGTTCAAGAAGATACTTGATGACCTCCAGAATCTTTCAGAAGGGACATTGTTTCATAGGCTCCATCTGGAAGATGCCATGCATCACCATTTGCATAGTACTGATGAAAGCAAATACAATAGATGAGATACTAAAAAGCTGATAAAACTCAATTACTAGTATGTTTCACGAGTACAGAATAGATACATTCTTCAATAGTTCTTGCGCTACACAACAAGAATTTTGATGCAACAATTTATTTGAACAGCTTAACCTCAAAAAGTTCACCTTGTATACTTCTTCAAAATAATTATCACTGTCGCAACCAGTGGCATCTGAAACAACAAGTCTCCAAAATGGCTTACCATCACCCTGTCAGTTATTAATAATGTTGGAAACCATGATGAAAACGATGTTAAGAGCAAGACTGCCGTGTGGTTGAAGCGTTAGATTCTTCACTTTATCGTGCAATTAGTTAATTAATTTTCATACGGTAACACAATTGCAGTTCCATTTCCACTAATTGCGCTTGAAATCCTTTTGTTTGCAAAATTTAACATGTAGCAAGCAGATATAAAAACTACTCACAAAGTCAAATATAAAAGGTGGAAAGAAGTCGAAAACTAACAAAGCCCCTAACTATTGACAAGCAGTTTTCCATGCCATTCAATGCTTTCATATTGTCTAATAAAACACCAGTTAATGATGAGCTAGCTTACATAATCTCAAGATGTCACTCTTCCATTCCACCTGAAACTTCCCTCAAAATATCAGGTGTGAGGTCCACCAAGAGGGG